TCAGAAGATGCCACCGGAGAGACAGGGGGTGTCATCAGGCCAGTGACCTCCGCACGGGCCACAGGGTGATAACGCCACGCCGGCCACACCCTGACTTTAATGGGGACCGGAAACGGGGGCTGTGCTGTGTCCTTTGACCTGGAAGGGGAAGCCCCCCCCCCCTTTGAGAGGCAGGAAGGAGCCGGCAGCGCCCCCCAGGCCCTGAGGACCCAGCCCCCTCGGGCCTCAGCTCAGAGCCAAGGCCGAGGCCAGAGCCAGGTGAGCGCCGCCGGCCGGGAGCGGGACTCGGGAAGGACCAGGCCCGGGGCTGGGGCTGGACGGAGCGGGGACACGACGCGGGGCTGCGGCCGCGCGGGGCCTCCTCAGGTGGGGGAGGCGGTGGCGGGAAGGCCGGGCAGAGCGGCCTGGGCAGCGGGAGGGCCGGCGTGCTCCCGGGCTTCGGAACAGCTTTTCCGGGGGCAGAGGGGGTGCTGGGTGGGGACGGAGGGGACGGTCCTACCAGGTGCCCAGGGGACCTGACACTGTCGTGCCCGGACCACAGCGGGAGGAGCGGCGGGCAGGTCCCGGGGCGCCTGGGGGACCTGCTGTGTGCCAGGCCCTCTGCTCCTGGCTGTTCCTTTGCTTTCTCCTCGTCCCCCCTGTTTGAGGTGTTATGTGTGTGATGACTTCATTGAAGATTACACATCTACCGCTATTTTAGCAGGTACAGATGTTCCCTTTCTACTGCCACAAACTGGGGGGTTTGTTTTGGGTTGCAAGGACTTCAGAGTGAATTTATACATTAAATGTTTTTTGAGCCCTGGCCGGTTTGGCTCAGCGGTTAGAGCATTGGCCTGTGGTCCTGAGAGACCCGGGTTCGGTTCCCGCTAAGGGCACGTACCTCGGTTGCAGTTTGTCCCCGGCCCTGGTTGGTTGTGCGGGTGGCGACCACTCGATGTGTCCCTTTCACATCGATGTTTCTCTCTCTCTCTCTCTTCCTCTCTCTCCCTCCCACTCTACCTAAACAAAAAATGAAAAAAAAAAATGTCCTCGGGTGAGGATGATTAAATGTTTTTTGACAGTGTTGAGAAAAATCAGCAGGCCAGCAATTAAACCACCTGAATAAGGACGATGCACCAACTAGCAAACCTCCAGCGAGCAGCAGACACTGACAGGGTGAATTTGAAATCATCTACCTAGAGACAGAGTCACACCCACAGCACCTGTTCCCACAAGACTGGCCCCACTGCAGAAGCCAATCCAAAGTCCAGGTTGTTACCTGTACTTCTGATCCACTCGCTATAAATCACAGGTCCCCACGACGCCCTCCTTGGGTTCCATTAATTTGCTAGTGGGGCTCAGGGAACTCAAGAATTGACTTAGGTTGACCACCTTATTATAAAGGATACAGATGACAAGCCAGATGAGGTACAAAGAGAGGGAGGGATCTGGAGATGTGTTGAGGCCAGGAGCTTCTGTCCCTGGGGAACTGGAGTGTGCCACCCTCCTGGCATTCGGACATGTTCCCCAACACAGAAACTCTTCAAATCTCCTGTTTTCACAGAACTTAATCTCTAGCCCCCACCTGCCTTCTCAGAATTCGGTGGGTGAGGATGACAGTTCTCACCTTCTCATCAATCGGTCTTTCTGGTGACCAGGCTACTGTGTGTCCATCTTACCCCATGCTGTCGCATCACTGGTGTAAACCCAGATGTACTCAAAGGTACTCTTAATAACTACTAAAATATACTCCTATCACTCAGGAAATTTTAAGGGTTTTGGAAGCTCTGTGCCAGGAATTAGGGAAAAGACCAAGTATATTTCTTGTTATACCACAGAGGAGAAATGGAACTACTATGCAGAAATTCTTAAGTTCTTTGCCACACATATTCTTATTGTTTAAAACCAGAGGTTCCAAGAAGTTTATTTAAATTTATGTTTATGCTGACACCATACTGAACCAGAAGGTGAGTGTGATTTTTTTTCCCCCACAGATCCCTGTATGAATAGGGGATCAAGGAACCCATCCCCCTGCCCTGGCCGGTTTGGCTCAGTGGTTAGAGCGTCGGCCTGTGGTCCTGAGAGACCCGGGTTCGGTTCCCGCTAAGGGCGCGTACCTCGGTTGCAGTTTGTCCCCGGCCCTGGTCGGTTGTGCGGGTGGCAGCCACTCGATGTGTTCCTTTCACGTCGATGTTTCTCTCTCTCTCTCTCTCTCTGTTCCTCTCTCTCCCTCCCACTCTACCTGAACAAAAAAATGGAAAAATGTCCTCTAGTGAGGAAAAAAATAAAAAAGGAACCCATCCCCAATGACACAGGTAGTCTGAGATCAGATTTGGAATCCAAACCACATTACATAGAAACAGATGAAAGTTTAATGCCTTCGTTGTCTTTTTCTCAGTCTCAATTTATTGCAGTGTGGAAGATTTGGTGTTTGTGGATGGGAAGTGGGAACACAGAAGAAGATGATGGATTTACAGTGGAAGAGAAAAGGGGCCAGTTTGAAACAACTGTGAGGAAGAAACGGGATAGAATGGATCTGAGAGCTTTGAGATGAAGGGAAAGAGGTTTAAAGAAGGGAGTAGGAGAAACTGTCTAGAATAGAACTGAGAATCACAGAAATATAATTAAGCAAAATTTTTTTTTTTTTTTTTTTAATCCTCACCCGAGGACATTTTTCCATTTTTTGTTCAGGTAGAGTGGGAGGGAGAGAGAGGAACAGAGAGAGAGAGAGAGAAATATCGATGTGAAAGGAACACATCGAGTGGCTGCCACTCACACAACCGACCAGGGCCGGGGACAAACTGCAACCAAGGTCTGTCAGGACCGCAGGCCGACGCTCTAACCGCTTAGCCAAACCGGCCAGGGCTAATTAAGCAAAATTTTTAAAATCAAAGACTATTTTAGGTATCCATAAAAGGAGGGAATATATTATAATGAACCCATATATGAAGAATCTAGGTCCTATAATTATACATTTTTGCCACTCCTCACTATAGTCCCACCAACTTTTTGCCATTTTTGTGAAACAAATCCAAAGACATCATAGGATTTTTTTTTTTATTCTCACCCGAGGATATTTTTTTTTTCCATTTTTTTGTTTGTTTGTTTGTTTCGTTAAGGTAGAGTGGGAGGGAGAGAGAGGGAGAGGGAGAGAGAGAGAGAGAGCGAGAGAGAGAGAGAAACATCGATGTGAAAGGGACACATCGAGTGGCTGCCACCCGCACAACCAACCAGGGCTGGGGACAAACCACAACCAAGGTACATGCCCTTAGCGGGAACCGAACCCAGGTCTCCCAGGACCGCAGGCTGATGCTCTAACTGCTGAACCAAACCAGCCAGGGCAGACATCATAGGATTTTACTTGTAAACTTTTCACTATATATTTCTAAAAGAGACTTAATTACAAACTTCATTATCTCAACCTAGCGTAATTGTCATTTATTTTGTTTACCCTCAGATATCCAACTTCCAAATTAAATTTTGATCAAGTATTTCAAGATGAATTGAAATTAGGTTTATATATTGTAATTGGTTAATAAAATATGTTCTTTACATGTACTTTAATTTCTGCATGCTTCCTTCATGGGTTGTTTATTTCCTTTTTGCATTTGTGTCAAAAAACATGGTTTAATTTTCAGTAGAGTTTATCACCGTCTAGATTATACTGATTGCTTAGTCAGTGTATTACTAATGGTTTATCAGAGAAACAGAGCCAATAGTAAGTATCTAGAAAGACATTTATTAAAAGGTATTGGCTCACAAGGTTATGGAGCCTGAGATGTCCCATGATCTGCAGTCTGCAAGCAGGAGACCCAGGAAAGATGGTGGTGTAGTTGGAAGGCCTGAGAGTCTGAGAACAGATGGTACAGATTCCAGTCTGGGTCTGAAGGGCAGAGTGTCCAGGATAGGAGGTGGATGTGTTAGATTATTCCATGCGTAAGAGAATGAATTCAACATTCCCCTAGTTTTTGTTCTCTTCAGACCCTCAGTGGTTTGCATGATGCCCACTGATGTTGGGGAGGGCCATCTGCTTTGCTCATCTACTGATTTAAATACTAATCCCTCCCAGAAATCTCCCCACAATCACACCCAGACTAGTGTTTCACCAGTGATCTGGGCATCCAGTGGCCCAATGAAGTTGACAGGTAAAATTAACCAGGTTGTCCTACACATATCTCTCTATGCCTTATAGTTCCTGTAAGTAGGTGGTTGGAACTCTGTTTGATGACATTTCACTTCATTTTTCTGACAAAACTTCTTCACAGATGGTATTATGTAATCCCTTCAACAGTTCATGATATCTGTCACTATTTTGTGATAGTTGAGGCCACTGACAAATTTACCAAGAACAATTAATTCATTTGGCGTTGCAAAATAGATTGTTGTCTTCATTGCTAACTCCTCATTAATATTGTCATGGTAAATAATTTGGTTTACCTGAGGTACTTTTTTTTTTTTTTTTTTAATCCTCATCCGAGGACATTTTTTCATTTCTTGTTCAGATAGAGTGGGAGAGAGAGAGAGAAACATCTACGTGAAAGGGATACACTGAGTGGTTGTCACCCACACGACCCAACCAGGGCAGGGGACATTCTGCAACCGAAGTATGTGCCCTAAGTGGGAACCAAATCAAGGTCTCCTTGGACCGCAGGCGGACACTCTAACCGATGAACCAAACCAGCCAGGGCTGGAGGTTCTTTTCATACAAGGATGGAAGGATTAATTGCTGATTGAACTGTTCTTTAAATGACAATATTGTTCTGTCCACAGAAACCACATAGGACTTGGATTGTGCTGGTTATTTTTTACCAAAAGGAGTCCACAACCAATATAAAATTTGGAAAAAGGCATTAAATACAGGAGCAGGAGACAGGAAGACTGGGCAACAGCTGGCAGCTGGGACTCTTCTTGGAAGCTACAGCCTTCCACCGAGAGCGAGCAGACCTCAGCTTCTCACTTTTCCTGGCTCCTGGGGAAACACTGACTGAAGAGTCTCTGCAGACAGACAGCTTCACTGCACAATGGACGTTGTGGCCTCCCTGGCTGAGCTCCAAGCAGAGGCCAGCTGCCCCGTCTGCCTGGATTACCTCACAGACCCAGTGACCATTGAGTGTGGGCACAACTTCTGTGGCTCCTGCATCCACCAGTGCTGGGAAGATCTACAGGACATCTTCCCCTGTCCTGTCTGCCTCCACCACTGCCCTGACAGGGACTTCAAGAGGAACACCCAGCTATGTCACATGACTGATATGGTTAAGCAGATTCCCACCACAGGGAGCCAGAGGAAATTGCAGGAAGAAAAACTGCTGTGTGAAAAGCACAATGAGGTTTTCACCCTTTTTTGTGACAGTGCCCTGGAGCTGTGGTGTCCCCAGTGCAAGATCTCAGACCACCAGGATCTGCCCCTGACACCCATTGACGAAGCTGCAGCTAGTCACAGGAGGAAGCTCAAAAGCTACATTGAGCCCCTGATAGTGGAGTTTGAAGATGCTGAAACGGAGTATGAAAACCACATTGCAAAAGCTTTTGAAGTTCAGAGAAAAATGGAAAATTGGAGGAGAGAATTGTACTATGAATGTAAAGAACTTAAGCATTCTTTGGAAGTAGAACACGATGAAATCAATGCCAGCCTACTTATAGAAGAGAAGGATGTTGAAGAAAAAATAACTGAAAATGGAAGGCAAATTTCAAACCATATGTTCACACTAAACAATCTGTTATGTGAAATAGCAGAGAAGTATTTGCAGACAGACCTGGATTTACTCACAGGTATTGAAAGTACCCACAACAGGTATGAGAACCTAGAGACCCCAGCAGTTGTTTTGTATGAATTAAAGAAGGAGAGTTTCACTCTCCCCCCACACTATTTTGGCCTGCATAAAATGATGAGCACATTTCAGGTAGATTTGACTCTGGATCCGGAAACTGCCCATCCAAGTCTCATTATCTCGAGAGACAGAAAAAGTGTGACATATAGGATACCAGATGGTCTTCATAATCCCCAGGCACTTTCGTCTTACCCAGCTGTCCTGAGCTCTGAGGGCTTTGCTGCTGGCAGGCATTTTTGGCAGGTAGAAGTAAAAGGCACAGGTGAATGGTCCTTAGGTGTGTGTAAAGAATCTGCCCTCCAAAATGCTCTTATGTCACCATCCCCAAGCAGTGGCAGCAGGCACATTGAGCTTTGCGCCAGTATATGCGGAACTTGCCCTAGAGGACATGTCATGCGGGTTGGCATTTTTCTGGACTATGAGTTGGGAGAGGTTTCATTTTATAATTTAAATAACAGGTCATACTTGTATGGATTCACTGATACATTTACAGAAAAACTTATGCCTTATTTCTCTAGTGCACCTTCTTCAAAATCTCTTACAATCAGCGTCAGAGATGAATGATGAACAACTTGGAGAAATTTTATATGTGGTTATTTTCTTGTTATTGGAAGGAATACTTATTTGTTTGTTAATCTTTTCTCGAGGATATTTTTCCATTGATTTTAGATACAGTGGAAGGGAGGGAGGATGGGAGGGGGAGGAGAGTGAGAGTGAGAGAGAAACATCAATGTGAGAGAGACTCATTGTTTGGTTGCCTCACGCATGACCCAGACCATGACCAATGATGGAACCTGCAACCAAGGTACAAGCCCTTGACTGGGAATTGAACCCGACACCCTGCTGTCTGAGGACCGATGCTGAGCCAAACTGGCCAGGGCCAGTCTTAACATTTGAAAGGAATTTGGGATGGGTTCACCTGGTCACCACTTTGGCATTGTGAGCAGGATTATTCAGATGTGAGGCACACCACCAGGGGCTACTCCTCTGGCTGCTTTGTGTTATGCCACGTTCTGGTTCCCTAGGCAGCCGTGCCCTTTCAACTCTGTGCGGCATTTGCTAAGTTCTACCAGGGCTGTGTTATAGATTTAACTGACCTAAGTCAGAAGTTTAATAAGGAACATATTCTGTTTACTTATTATTTTTCTTTTCTTTCTTTTTTTTTTTATCCTCACCCGAGTACATTTTTCCATTTTTTGTTCAGATAAAGTGGGAGGGAGAGAGAGGAAGAGAGAGAGAGAGAGAGAGAGAGAGAGAGAGAGAGAGCAACATCGACATGAAAGGGACACATCAAGTGGCTGTCACCTGCACGACCAACCACGGCCGGGGACAAACTGCAACTGAGATACGTGCCCTTAGCGGGAACCGAACCTGGGTCTCTGTGGACCGCAGGCTGACTCTCCAACCGCTGAGCCAATCCAGCCAGGGCTACTTATTATTTTTCATATAAATTTTTGAGAATTGTGATTATTTTGCTTTTGTCTCATGTTTTATAAAATCACTGTCATACACAGGAGTGAGCAAAAGTAGGTTTACAGTAATGATGCAGATAATACAATAATTAATAAAAAATAAGAATAAACTATGTTATGTACTAACCACTGTAAACCTACTTAAACAAAATTCTCACCTGATGATATGTTTATTGATATATAGAGAGAGGAAGGGAGAGAGAGAGAGAGAGAGAGAGGGAAACATCAATGTGAGAGAGAAACATCAAGTGGTTGCCTCCAGTACTTGCCCTGACAGGGGATTGAACCTGAAACCTAGGTATGTGCCTTGACCAGGAATCGAATTGCAACCTTTTTGATATGTGAGACAATGCTTTAACAAACTGAGCCACCCAACCCCTGTATAACCTCCTAACTTCACAAATTTGTTTTTAACATTATGTGAAATTGACAACATTTTAGAGCATGTTTCTCTTTGGAAGCCTGTATGTGTATTGTTTACAATGTTTGGAAATAAAGTTTTACTTTGCATATCTCTGTATTATTTGTCTATTTCCATAATTTGCAAAGATGCTCAGCAGGGCATTCCTTTAGGTAGGAGGGACCCCTGCATTGATCAGAGTAGCCATGCTAGGCTGTGGTAATCTCAGTTCCTTACTTAGCAAGACAATGTAGTACTTATTCTCATAAAGTGCAGTGTAGGTCAGCAGGGGACTGCTCTAGTACCCACCCAGGAATCTAACTCCCTCAGGCGTGGGTTGTCACAGCACCGGGTCAGTAGAACTAGAGAAAGAGGGAGCATTAAAGGGTCACACTGAGCCTTGAAGCCAACACCAGGAAGAGACACACATTTTCCCCTTACTTCATCTTCTAAAAGTAATTGCAAGGCCCACCATGTCTGCAAGGGGCGAAGAAGAATGCATGCACTGTGAGAGGAAATCCACTGTTTGCCATAATCCCTGAATCCTATTAGACATTAGTGAAATGCACTTTAATGATGACTGCTAGAATTAAAAGTCCTTAATTATAATGTGTAAAGAGATTAACATAGACATTTATAATAGTTTGACAACTCTATAGCAGTTGATCAATAACTTCCCCCAATAAAGAAGATATTTAAGTAAAATAAGAGAATGGGATGAATAGGAAAAAACTCAGTTGGGAAAGACTTCTGTAGATAAGTAGACTAGGAGCTACTTTTTTTTTTTTAATTTTTTTTTTTTTTATCCTCACCCGAGGATATTTTTCCATTTTTTGTACAGATAGAGTGGGAGGGAGAGAGAGGAAGGGAGAGAGAGAGAGAGACATCGACGTGAAGGGACACATCGAGTGGCTGCCACCCGCACGACCAGCCAGGGCCGGGGACAAACTGCAACCGAAGTACGTGCCCTTAGCGGGAACCGAACCCGGGTCTCTCCGGACCACAGGCCGACGCTCTAACCGCTGAGCCAAACTGGCCAGGGCTAGGAGCTACTTTTTAATTAATTAATTTGAAAATATTTTTATTGACTTTTTAGAGAGAGGAAGAGAGAGAGAATATAGAAACATGGGTATGAGGCCTGGCTGTTGTGGCTCAGTGGATTGAGCGTCGTCCCAGGGACTGAGAGGTCCTGGTTTAATTCCCATTCAGGGCACCTGCTGAGGTTGTGGGCTCGATCCCCATAGGAGGCATGCAGGAGGCAGCCAATGGATGTTTCTCTCTCACATTAATGTTTCTATCTTTCCCTTCCTCTCTCTCTGTAAAAAAAAAAATAAATAAAATCAACAAAAACATTTAAAAAATGCAATACAAAAGAGACATGAATGTGAGAGAGATTTATCAATAAAATTAATGCCAGCCTACTTAGAAAAGAGAATGTTGAAGAAAAAATAATTGAAAATGGAACTCAAATTCAAACCATATGTTCATGCTGAAGAATTTGTTAAGTGAAATAGCAGAGAAGTACTTACAGACAGACCTGGATTTACTCACAGGTGTTGAAAGTACCCACAACAGGTATGAGAACCTAGAGACCCCAGCAGTCTTCTCCTATGAATTAAAGAGGGCGAGTCTCACTCTCCCCCCACACTATTTTGGCCTGCATAACATGATGAGCACATTTCAGATAGATTTGACACTGGATCCTGAAGCTGTCCATCCAAGTTTCATTATGTCAAGAAATAGAAAATGTATGACATATACCACAGCAGATGGTGTTCATAATCCCCAGGCATTTACTTCTTACCCAGCCACACTGAGTTCTGAGGGATTTGATGCTGGCAGGCTCTTTTGGCAGGTAGAAATAGTGTTTCCAAGGTGTGTGTGAAGAAACTTTTCCCCCAAATATGCTCATAACACCATCCCCAAAGAATGGATGCTGGCATCATCAGCTTTGCACTAGTACATGTGGTCTGTGCCATACAGGGCTATTGCAGATCAGCGTTTTTCCGGACTATGAGTTGGGAGAGGTTTCATTTTATAATTTAAATAACAGATCATATTTGTGTAGAGCCACTGATTAGTTAACAGAAAAAATTATGCGTTACTTTTATTGTGCACATTCCTCAGAATCTCTTAGACTCAGTATCATGAGAAAGAAATGATAAACAACTTGGAGGAAATTTTGTATGTGGTTCATTTTGGGGATGAAAAGGGGCCACATTCTAACCTGACAAGGTCTGGGAAGGTCTGTCTGGACACCTGGAAAACTCAAAGACCAAAGTAACCACAAAGGATGGTGTGAAATGAAAACTTTTTACTAAAAACAGTTTATGGTAGGTAGTCATGTCCTAGGCAGGCATCTTCCCTGACAAAGGTCAATTTTCACCTTAACTGAGTCTGTCTGTTGTCATTTTACATCTAAGACAACATATCTTTGTAATGTCTATGTAATTTTCCTTTTTCTGGACCCCTCAAAGCACAGGCACCACTCTGTGGAGAACACAAATCCCCTTATTGTTACTGAGTTCATTGTTGACTGTCATCTATCTTGTACCCACCTATGTAAAAGATGTATGTGTGTATCTATCATTTTACTTTTCATCGAATCCCAGCAGTTTCCCAGCTTTGCTTTCTCCCACCTCCCTAATCTATCACCAGTGAATCTCATGTAACCCACTTGCATCTTCTCTTTGGATTGTAATGTATAAAATAAGGTACAAAACTGTCATTCTGTGGAGTATTATCTCAATTCATTGAGATTTTGCTTCCTGGCAATTGTCAGTTTGGCTCAAATACACTCACAAACATTCTTCACAGGTTTGAATGTTTCTTATGTTGACATTTTCTGTCCCTGTTATTGGAAGGAATACTTAAAATAAAGATTTTTATTCCATTTTTGATATTTTACTGTTGAAACCTTCTTGGACTCACCTTTCTCGCCTCCTCGTACCTCACACCTGGGACAGTTTTAAAATAAGCCTTAACACATTCTGCATTGGTTAGAAATGTAAAACTATTATTCTGAAGTTTCACTGATTCATACAAAATGGATTTAGACAACTGTTCTACATTGATTGAATCTTCTCAAATAAGAGATTTGAAGAAATTATATCTTGGTATTCTTGTCACATATTTTTTTTAAAAATATGCATTTATTGATTTTTTTAGAGAGAAAGGAGGGGAGATTGAAATATTTGATCAGCTGCCTCCTGCATGCCCCCTACTGGGGATACTGGGAATCGAGCTTTCAAAGTGGGCATGTGACCTGACAGAGAATCCAACCAGGACCTCCCAGTCCACGGGATGATGCTTAATCCACTGGCCAGGCCTCTCTTCACACTTTAACCAAAACTAACCTTACAGCTGAGTTTAAACTCTATTGAAACAATCTTCAGTAAATTCATTAGTCAACTGGTAGCAAAATCACTTGAATACTATAGAGTCTTCATTCATGTCTCTTTGCTTAATGACTGCTCTTGGCAATGAGACTGGCCAGAATAATCTATGATTCTGTACCAGTATTTTGCTTCATAGGACTCACTGTTTTATAGATTGGTAGCATATAATAAATGTTTGAATTTTTTTTTTTTTGTTAATCTTCACTGGAGGATAGATATTTTTTCACTGATTTTTAGATAAAGTGGATGGTGTGGGCTGGGGTGGTGGGGGTTGGAAGAAACAGCGATGTGATG